GCCTGAGGGACGCTGAAGCCAAGGCAGTGCAGTGGAGAATCAGGCCCGGGGTTCTCCTCTGTGTCCTGCTAAGCGAGAGGGGGTTTTCGACAACGCCAAGTCAATGCCACTGCAGTTGCACCTTAAAAATAAAACGATAACGGTGTGATAGCGCTTTTCTGCATATTACCCTGATCCAACGGGACAGCAGGGATGTAAAATCCCATTTAATCAACTAAGAACAGAAGAACGGCCAGACTGGGTCAGACCAAAGGTCCATCTAGCCCAGTGTCCTGTCTGCCAACAGTGGCCAATACCAGGTGCCCCCAGAGTGAACAGCACAGGGAATCATCAAGGGAGCCCGCTCCTGTCATTCATTCCCAGCCTCTGACAGACAGAGGCTAGGGACCCCATTCCTACACAGCCATTGATGGACCCAACCTCCATGAATTTAGTTCTTTTTTGAACCCTGATCTTCACACCATCCTCTGGCAAGGAGTTCCACAGGTTGACTGCGCTGCATGAAGAAATATGTCATGTTTAACCACTTATATGGGGGTCAGCGGGTGGCTGCTCCAGCCTGGTTGGGATGAGTGTCCCCTGCCTAACACACTGCAGGCTGCTCCAGCCTGTTCAGGCCCACCATAGGAAGAGGCTGCTTGGGCCAGGATGGGCTTGTTGCACTGCACCACAGGCGGGGGCTGCTCTGGCTGGGCCGGGCCCACTCCTCTGCTCTGTGGGCCGAGACCTGCTCCACCCTGGCCAGGCCGCCAGTTAACCACTGACATCCTTACTGGCCAGTTGGTCTCCCCCTGTGGAGGAGTAAAGGAAAGCCCGGTCAGCCAGCCGGCAGATCTAAAGACTGCATACTGAACCCCACCATGCATGAAGATGATTGGGCGTAGTATGTGTTTTCCAAATATCATCAAGATCCACTCCCAATTGAAATGTATGAAAAGGAAAAAAAAAAGGGGGGGGGGGAGACTATGAAACTGTCACACTTCAGCACAGAGAGGGTGGGAGGATGGCAATGGAATTCTGCAAGATGGCAACCTTCATCGTTATGACCTGGGTACGTCAGAGCTACAGAAGTGCTTGCTGGGACTTGTAGTCCCCACAGGCAGAACCTGGTCTCCATCAAAGGTGAGGGGTAGCACACACATGAGGGCTGTGTCTACACTGGCCGCTTGCATTTCCGGAAAAGCACTGACGATCTAATGTAAAATCATCAGTGCTTTTCCGGAAAAACTATGCTACTCCCGTTCGGGCAAAAGTCTTTTTCCAGAAAACTGTTCCGGGAAAGGGCCAGTGTAGACAGCACAATAGTGTTTTCCGCAAAAAAGCCCCGATCGTGAAAATGACGATCGGAGCTTTTTTGCGGAAAAGCGCGTCTAGATTGGCCACGGATGCTTTTCCGGAAAAAGTGCTTTTCCGGAAAAGCGTCCTGCCAATCTAGACGTGCTTCTCCGAAAATGCTTTTAACGGAAAACTTTTCCGTTAGAAGCATTTCCGGAAAATCATGCCAGTGTAGACGTAGCCGATCAGTTTTATGGAATCTCCTGTGGGCTCCTGGTAAACTGCCATTTTTCGACCCTATGTGAGCAAATTTGGGTGCTCTGCTTAAAATGGGACCATCAGCTTCTAAAGCCCTAAACACAAACAAGCTAAAAAAGAACAAGTTTTATGAATCCTAACACTGCAATTATTCTCATGACATGAAAGACTAAGCAAGGTATGTCTACAGTGCATGGCAATTTCGGGATACCTCTAGTATCAAGTTTGCTTATTTTACAAGTGAGAAGATTTTTTTTTAAATTGCCCAAATATAACACCACTGTATAACTATGTGGGACGCCCTGACTTTTGAGTACTGTATGCAGTTCTGGTTGAACCGTCACAAAAAGGATGTACTAGACTTGGAAGAACTCCAGAGGAAGGCAACAAAAATGATTAGGGATATGGAAGAGCAAAAAATTGGGAATCTTCAGCTTAGAAAAGAGATGATTTAAGGAAGGCTACAATAGCGGTCTGTAATACAATGAATGCTGTGTAGAAAGTGAATACGGAAATGCTCTTTACCCTTTTGCCCAAGATCTAGGGAGTTACCCAAGAAATTATTAGGCAGCAGGTTTAAAACAGACATAAAGTAGTCCTTCTTCACACAATGCAATCAACCTGTGGAACTCACTGCCAAGGGATGTTGTGAAGCCTAAAAGTACAGCTGGATAAAAAATGAATTAGAAAAGGTCATGGAGGATAGGTCCATTGATGGCCAATAGTTGAGATGGTCAGATTTGCAACTTTATGTTCTGGGTGTCCCCAAGTCTCTGACTACCAGAAGCTGGGACTAGACAAGAAGAGATGGATCATTTGATGAATGAGCCTGTTCGTTTTATTCCCTCTGAAGCATCTGTCCCCGGCCACAGATGGAAGAGACGACACAGGGCTAGATGGACCATTGGTCTGGCCGTCTGACCGATCTTTTGTTGGTATGGCAGCATGCCTGATCCTGGGACTTGAGAGCTGAGCAGTACTCCACCTGGCGTATGCATCCTCATTCATTATTGCCACGAAATATAATGGGCCAGGTTCCCCAAAATTACGGCATTCACTTCAGTTCATCAGTTTTTTTAAAATAATACATGTGGTGTTCTTTTGACGTGTTTCTAGTATATTGACTTTCTGGGGTCATGTTTTTCTCTGTAATTGTCAGGGCAAGAAACTAACTTTTTTTAAATGAAAGCTGAAACTCTCACTTGATCACAGGACTTCAGACATTGTGGCTGTATGAAAACAAACATGGGGGAGACTCTAAACTGCAAGAGGTCATCACGGTGGCAACGAACGATGCCATTAAACACCTGTACTGACAACGCAGGAGTCAGAAAACTTCCCACTATTATTCCACAGCCGAGTAGGTTTGGGAGTACGGAATAAAATGCTGGAAAATCACATCTCTCATCAAAAAAGTTAACAGATTTCACCCTGAATTCACAAGGGCTGCTAAAGCAGAAAGGCCTTTTGTCCAATCACTTTTCTGATCACAATCCAAATGTGATTACAAAACAACGGTCTGCCCTCTTAGTTTAGTGGCTAAAATGTAGACTATAGGTTGAACCTTCCTAGTCTGGCACTCTCTGGTCCAGAAACATCCATGGTCCGGCATGATTTTAGTTAGCCAGTGTCCACTTATGGGTGTGGCCAGGTTTCCCGCGGTCTCATAAAGTTTGTTTACAGCCCCCAGTCCTGGTGCCCAGCGTTCTGTGCTGCTATTTAGCTCTAATTTACCCCTCAATGTCTTCTCAGAGCCCAGCGAGCAGTGGAAAGATTGGCGATGCTGCTAGACCATTGAGCTCCCATGGTCCAGCAAATTCTCTGGTTCGGCACCGGTCAGGTCCGGAGGGTGCTGGACTAGAGAGGTTCAACCTGTAGAAGAGTGGATGTACAATGTTTCCCAACACCACTGTTCCAGGGTGCCAGAGCAGTGTTTCAAAAGTGACTGGAGATCTTGGCTGTTCCCATTTTTGGGTGCCGATGAAGCCATTTAAAAGGCATATGATGTTCTCAAATGAGTACTCAAGCACTTTAGGCACATAAGCACGGCCAGACTGGGTCAGCCCAAAAGTCTATTAGCCCAGTGTCCTGTCTGCCCGCAGTGGCCAATGCCAGGTGCCCCAGAGGGAAGAAACAGGACAGGTGATCTATGCTCTGTTGCCCAGTTTCAACTTTCACAATATCAGGCTGCTTCACGGAATATCAGCTTGTGCATTCCAGAAATCAGGGGCGGGGAACCTAAGGATCCAGCCCCCGGCTTGCCTGGATCCAGCCTGAGGCTCAGGGCTCTTCACCCAGCATTGGGGAGCCCATGGTGGTGCTCCAGCCCCACCTCCCCTCATCGCACCCTGCAGGGCTGGAGCACACAAAATCTACCAGCCTGGGACCCCTAAGCTCTGATGTGTGAGAGGCATGTGGGAAGGGTCTTTCTGTGTCTCAGTCAGAGAGAGGGTTTTTTTGTTTCTCAGTTGTGTGCAGCCTGACTGATTTTTCTGACCCCAAAAAGGGTCCCCCACCCCTGCCATAAATGGAGGCTTCTAAAACTCCCAGTTGCTTTCTACAATCTTGGGCTTTTCTACTTAAGAACTGGAGAGAGACTGAATAGCTACAAGCAGCAGAGGGGGGAGCAGGTGGGAAGAGCCGGCTTTGAAGCCAGCTCCCCTCTGCCTGCCCCCCTGCTGCCTTCCACAAAGGCAGTGAGGGGGGCAGGCAGGAGCCAGTGCTGGAGAACAGCCTGATTAAAAGGCAGCTCCCACCGAAGCATCCGTTCTGCAGAGTCACCTCTGCCCCCACCCCTGCCCTGCTGCTGCCTCTATCAGAGGCAGTAAGTAGCGTGCGGCAGGGGAGGCTGCCGTGGAGCATCCTCTGTCTGCAGTGGACCCAGGCTTGCCACAGACAGAAGCTGCTCTGTGGGATGCGGGCCAAGCCTCTGACCACGGGGGGCTCGACCTCTGCGGACAGGGGTTGGTGCTGCCTCTGATACAGAGGAAGCAGCATGGGAGAGCAGGGCTGGGAGCGCACTGGTTGCCGGCCCCCAGGGACTATCGAATAGTCGTGTAACTGATAATATTTGATGCAGTTACACAACTGTTCAATTCATCACTAACATCCTGAAGACACCCGCAGACTTCACTACGTCCCAACCAGCATACTTGTTTTCCCAACTGGAATACAAGCCAGCACGCAAAACTACATTTTCAAACACATTTTCTTTCATCTTTTTTTCCACCCCGTTGCTCTTGGCCTCCCTTCATGTATGAAGCATTGAAGACAACTGGAGCCCTCTAGTCAGAAAGGAGCTGGGGTTTTTTAAGTGAATTGGCCTGGATTCGAGCCTGCAATCTGCACTCGGGAAAATCTAAATTGACTCCAGAATGCCTGAGGAGAGATGGCTCAAAACTGCTATTTAAAGTCAGAAAAATAACCGTTCTTCCCTCGTTGGAAAAAAAAAAGACAATAAAAAACCCTCTAATGCGAATACTTTATTATCAATGAGTGACTGGTATTAGCTTTTTGTCTGGTATTAATAATATTTCCAAAAACCATACATCAAAATTAAGGGCTTTCTCCTATTTTTGCTGTATAATTTTTTAAAATCTGTATTGTAAGAATTATATAAGCCAAAGTGCATTTTCCTTTTTTTGTCCATATACACATTGCACCATACATAAATAATTACATTGTAAAAATGACTCCATAATTACAAGTATAATATATATTTTCATATAATATATAAAACTTTATATTAAATCTAGGTAGATGATATTTGGGATAGTCTGTTTCTCTCTCTCTCTTTCCTTTCTTTCGGCAGAGGTTGATTGTTATCTACTGTTGCTGAGTAATATCTCCAACCAGCAAGGACAGGACGTGATGAACTGTCTGGAATAACACGGCCCCCATCCTTTCGCAAAGCTTATCCGAACGCTGTTTGGGTCGTAGGGCCCATCTGCATAATCCAGATCCGTGGCGTGTTGTAAGAGGCAAGACTTCTCGTAATCAAACACCTTGATCGAATAGCCAGGCATCACTTTGCGCACTATTAAAGTCCTACAATTGGGGATGTCCAGAGTGGGGGAGTTGACAAAGATAGGGTGCTCACTGCGATTGTAGGCCCATACCCCGTCTGGCTCTTTGCTAAGTAAAATCCCATAGCCGATTTTGCTCCGAGTCCTTCTAACAGTTTCACTCCTATTTTCCAGGGTTAGCTGTCCGAGACAGAAGCCATTTCCTTGAGGTAGGTCATAAAATATACTGACAGACTGTTCATACACTGTGTAGAGGCGTCCCACGCGAGTCCGATGTTCCCAGTAGGCAACATTACACCAGTGGCTCTGCTTAATGGCATCTGGGGACATACTGGCATCTGTGGGAGGGATAAAAGCAAAGGAACATTCAAAGGTTGCTCACATAGCACCGACTGACTTCAAACCGACAGCTCTAGTCTCACACATACACACACAAATAACCCATTTAATAACGATCACGGCTTGAAAATGACACAAGGGAAGAAACCCCAAGCTAAATCGACCCCACGGCAAATCCTCTGTGCTCACACCAGGGCCATCAAAAGGGGTTGCCAGATGGTTTCACCAAAAATACCGAACCCCCCCCCCCCACCAAAAAAAACCAACAGAGAAAAAAATCTGTTGAGAAAAACAGAAGAGGAGGAGACCAAAATTGTTGAGTTTCCCCCCACAAAAAAAAAAAAATTCTGTTGAGGGAAAAAAAAGGACCCCAAGAGTTGTTAAGCCAATAAATAAATAAATAAAATAAACCTAGTGTGGCCCCTTTAAGAAACACTTTTGAGGCGTTTTGGCCCTAACAGGCTGCCAGCGGCTGCCCGTCATCTTGCCTCCCTGCACTGGGCTGGACAGCTCCCCTGTGGAACCCAATAAGCACCCAGGATTTTCGCCTCCTGGCTGGGAAAATATCAGAAAATACCGGACATTTTAGATGTCTGGTATTTTCTGAATTTTTTCTACTGGAAAGGAGGCAAAAATACCGGACTGTCCGGGTCAATACCGGACACCTGGCAACCCTACCATCAAACTATCCCAAGCGACTTGCCAAAACACATACCACTTCCTCTTTCTCACTGGCAGCATGTCTAAAAGCCACAAGCAGGCTGGACCTTTTTGTGCTCGGTGCTGTGCAAACATACAAACGAACAGGGGTGGACCGTGGCTATTGGGGGACTCGGTCACTGTCTAAGGTGCTGCTACCCCGGGCGCCCCCAATGACGTCAGTCCATTGACGGCTCTGCAGGCGGGGGCCTTGGGTTGCTCCTGCAAACAGCAATCCGTGTCCCAAAGTGTTTGCAGTCCAAAAGACAAGACTTAGCAGGAGGAGGATACAAATCAAAGGGGCCAGAGTGGAGAGTCAAGAGTCACAAAATAAAAATGTAACAGGTTGTGCAAACTCTTAGCGGGTGAGTAAAATCCCATTTAAAATGATATGTTTAACTGGCCCGCCATAGGGAGGTGGTGCTCCAGCTGGATCCACCGCACCACAAGCAGCTCTGACCAGGCTGGGTGCGGGTTAACCAGTTACCAGTAGGCATCACCCAGTAAGGTGGATTTGCTAAAATCCCAGAGCTTACCAGTTAACCAGTTACCCGTTTACATACCTACTGCTCATCCAACACCCGATTCATATAAATTCTACTGCATACTTGGTCTGGCCACTATGGTGCATGTGCTATTCCATATTGTACACTGTCTCCCATCTTGTGATCACAGTAAATGTCACACACAGCTGGACCACTGTACTGTTCCTCAAGTGCTAAGAGAACCAATGCAAGTTCCTTCATGTTACACCTGTTGTCAGAGGCAGAGGGAAGTATTTTATCAGAACACCAGGCAGTAAGCGCCTACATTGACTTAAGCAAAATACAGGACTATGTAGCACTTTAAAGACTAACAAGATGGTTTATTAGATGATGAGCTTTCGTGGGCCAGACCCACTTCCTCAGATCAAATAGTCTGGCCCACGAAGGCTCATCATCTAATAAACCATCTTGTTAGTCTTTAAAGTGCTACATAGTCCTGTATTTTGCTTCAGCTACACCAGACTAACACGGCTACATTTCTATCACATTGACTTAAACATTAATCATCTCCGTTGACAATCCAGGACACCAAAGGACACAAAATATCTGTGAAATGTTTTCCAACTAACTTTTGAAAACAGAAATTACTTCAGTCAGGGCTACTTGATCTTAGTCACCAAACATGTACACCAACGTACCTTTGTTTTCAAAGGGAAACTCATGTTGACACGTAATGCATGGATATACCCTTGAAATGTTACTACCTTTCAAGGTAAAGGATCTGAATGCAACTATAGTTTGGATTATTTCTCCTAGCTAACAATTTTGGCAAAGGCTCTGGTGTCACTCTAATGAGAATAAGAAATGAAAGGCCCACTTCCATGGCAACGGTAGAATATTTTCCATAAACTACACAAGTGTATGTGTGCAACCTTGACTGGCTGATCTTCCCACCAACAAGAAGCCTCCTCTTTCTGTGAGCCACGTTCAGTGAAGAATGGAGGTTCTGGGAAGTGAGAGGCGAGTTTAAAATTCACGCTTATTATTATTTACAGGGCCTCTTGAAACCATAACAGAATTCACATCTCTTAAAAGGGTCCCTAAAAGGTGAACCAAGCTCTTTCCAAATGCATGGACCTGATGAATACAGACTTCCCCCCACCAAAAAAATCGGCTCTGATTTCAAGGATGACTGAATAATAAATAGATTCTTCATCCAGGGTCTCCATTCTTCAGCTGCAATGCCATTAGATTTAGCTTATATCTTCCGGCTACTAATAATGCACAGCATACGTGCTCCCCCGTCACAGAGCTCTCAGCATTCAAAACACTCATGACATGCACACATTCCACCCCCCGGAAAAGTGAGCTTTGCATATTTTCCTTCGCTGACAGTAAGCTCTTTTTTATGGAGGTGCACTTTGGACTACGATTTTTCTGCTTCCAATTGGTTTAGTGCTAAATGGTTTACTCCGTAGGCAAAACTGTGCTTAGCGACAAGTGCCGCGCTTAACTAAATAAGCCAACACGACATAAAGAAAACAATTACTTCATTTGTTACTGCATGGGGGGCGGGGGAGGAGGGAGGCTGGTCTTTTCATAACCAAGCTAAGTCGGCCACTTCTGTATAAAATAGGCCTAACATTTTTGTTCCGGGCCAGGGTCTCAGAGTTACAAACCCGGCACGAAGCTCTGCGTTGAGCCAGCCTTGTTCTGTACCCTGCATTAAGCTCCCTGACAATATATCACAAGACCGTGGCCTCTTGACCTTGCTGCCTTCATGCCATCAAGTCTGATTAACTCACACACAGAGTGATGCCATTATTTTGCTTCAGAGACTCTATTAAGGCACCGGATTTAAAGCACAGGCCTACAGCCCCAGTTCTTTTCATTCTCAAATTACACTGGAGTGGAATGGGCTTTCCCTCCCATTAACAGCCTTTGAATGAAGCGGCTTTGTGAGAGTTTAACTTGAGTTGTAACTCTACAACTTTAAACCAGGGGCGGCGGCGGGGAGGGGCGCGGAGGAGGAAAAGAAAAGGTAGATAATTGGGCTTTTCCACCTCTAAACATAGAGGTGGCCTGGCCCAAATCTGGCTGCATGCTGCAAGACAAGGCTGGGGTATGTTCACTGTCCAGCATCAGCCTCTTTAGGTGGACACTCATGAGCTGTCCAAGGCACAAACCTTAACAGGAGGAGACCGACTCTTCCCATCCCCCACACATCTGTTTGTAGAAGCTCCAGGCCCCAACCATGTGAACGGCTGCCAAGCAGAAGCACCAGCCCTATTTCTCCAGAGCCCCCACCCTGAAGACTGAAGGTCTGGAGTCTCCCTTGCTCTCTGAGGTGGCTTGTCTGAAGGAGCAACCCAGTGCTCAGTTGCTACCAAAAATTCAGGGTGTCGTCCTGGTCCCCCCTGAAGTAAAGGGCAAAATTCCCAGTGATTTCAATATGGCGAGGATTGCACCTCAGAGTAGACAGGGGAGGGCTAAAGGCATCTTTTTGGCTCTACCACTGCTCTGCTTGTAAACAGGATTTCTCAGAAGCTACGTGCTCAGAACCTGTAACTCTTATGCAAAGAAATGTGTCTGAGTGCCTCTGATGAGCAGGCTACTAAAACTCTGGGGCTGTGTCTACATTGCACCCTTTTCCGGAAAAGGGATGCTAATGAGACAAGTCGGAATTGCAAATGCTGCGGGGGATTTAAATATCCCCCACAGCATTTGCATGAACATGGCTGACGAGTTT